CCTTACCTTTTTCCCACTTTTATGCCTATCCCTTACATCTGTGAACACCCTTTTGTTCCCCTCTTGACTTTTTCTTACTTTGATGCTCCTCCTCTTCCTCTCTGTGAAGCCCGAAGTCAGCTAAAAGGCTAATGATAACTATTAAAGTGCCTGTCATTTGATATTAATAAATTCTTCGATTGATTAATAACGGCATTGGGAAGGTGACTAAATATGTGTAAATTGGAAAAAAAATGAGAAAAATGTGTACGCATATTGATGTCACATATGAAGTGAATATGCAATCGTATGGACGTATTGGTATATAGCCTGAAATCGATGTTACCATAATCTGGTATACTAATCAAAATATGTCGCTCTGTGCGTAATAAGTTAGACTCTAAAGCCTACCATGGATGGATGTTTTAACAGTTGTCTTCGTGTTTTTTCATAACAGACCTAATAAGAATAATTGAATGAAAAGATAAAATAATCAAAGAGAACACATTTTTGAAAGGCAGAAGCACCATCTCCTAGCCAGCATATTTTGCACATCACTTTGCATCCGTAACAGTAATGTTGGATAATTATGAAAAAAGAACACCCATAGTTGGATTTCTTAGATGCCTAACCTAATAATATAAAAGGTCCACACTCCCGTTAAAGAAGAACTCGATTTCTGAACCCTATTCCTGACAAAATAATCCTTCTCTCCTCCTCCTCCCCCCCGTTTTCCTGAGAAAAAGTTTCTCAGCTCTTTCAAATTTTGTAGCTCATTGATAATTTTGAGTGTAAGTCTTTGCATTAGACTCCAATTGATTAACTATCCATTTCCTCCCGATGAATGGGAATAACTCAAACGAATGGAATAATGCGCGGATAATTTTTACAGGTACCATTCGCCAAAGGTATTGTTTGCCTATCTCTGACTGGCTCAGATTTATTGCCAACTTATCGCCTCACCTACTATTTACCAACCAGAAATCTGAGTAGGATGTCGAAGACGCGGGGTGATGGGGGTGGGGGTGGAGGGGGTAGGGGAGCAGAGATGGGGGGAAGGGGAGACAAAAAGGTGATAGAGGGACTGATAAGACTGTGGGCAACATTCGCAGTGAGACTTGCGTTAAGGTAGGAGTTCCGTTTTATCAGTACCTAATTAATCCTTTATTTCATTTAAAATGTAAAAGTAATTTATTCTCCTTAAGCAAACCTTAATGTTTTAAACTGAAATACCTTCAAGCATCCTGAACTTTTGGATGATTTGTTTTTTAAAGTCACTAACTCATTTTTAAAAGAAGCATATTTATTATTAATTGACTTGTGTAGTACTCGATTTGTCGTGAATATTTAAATTAGGAAATTGGTTTAAGTGAAAATCCACTGCTTGATTACAGTGCAATAGTTCCACGGAGAGAATTCTATAAATATGAAGTCCCATCTTATGAATATCATGTAAAAAATAAGAGAAAATAGTTATTTAAATTATCCTGAATTCTCTTTTTTATGTTGTTGCACATTTTGCCACCATAAACTCAAAATAAAACATGCTATAATATCGTTTTTTAATTAAATACTGTAAAACTAGTATATCAATGTACATTTATAATTTTTTTACAATTATATAGTTTGGTGATGTTTCATTTATGTAAATTACCATTCAAAAAACTTGCGAGAACTCGAAAAACAATTGTCATTACTTCTAGTAAGAAATCCCTATAGCATATATAGCGCCTACCGCCTCAATAAGACCAAAATTTCCACAAAGCTCAACCATTTAATCATGGTCAGTTCAGACCAAACGGCAAGAGATTTTTTAAATGAAAGATTGTGCACCTTCCCTTTTGAAAATTAATATCTTCTTCATTTTATCCTACATGAATTGAAAAGTAAGCACGGTTTTATTTCTTCCTTTGTCTTCAGTAAATGCTATATTTAAATGAGCTTGATCATCTAATCAAGTTAAAAAAATAATATCAAATAAGTTAGAATGATCAGTAGATATGGGACCAATTTTCGTTTGCAGATGGCATCTTTAAAATCACAGGAATACTACATTCAAGGTAGCACTTCTAGTATTCCATCTACAGGCCAAGAATCCAAGCTCTTTGGCCTCCTATTTACTGGTCATCTTTCAGATGAAGCTTATGGCAAGGACTCTTCTTATCAACGTTTCCCCAATACCTGGTCTTACACTCCGAGCTATTGCCAGCAAGGCGAAGTTTGGAATAACTATAATCAGGATACTGTAGTCTATCCCATGGAAGAATGCTATTCTTCTACTCAGACCATAGCAAATATTTACGAAGATAATATGGATAACGGTTGGGGAAGTGAAAATTTAGACTTTGTGCAGCCTAGTCGACAGGATAGACACATCATTCAACCGCGGCATTCGAATCAGCGACTAGCGGCCAATATGCGTGAAAGACGTCGTATGCACTCAATCAATGACGCTTTCGAAGGTAAGTCACTTAAGTAAATGTAACATTTAGACAGCGTTTTAGTTTTATACCCTGCTACTCAACCTTCCCCATCGCTCACAGGAACGTTTCGAAACATTGTTCCAACTTGACTTCTCAAGTAACAAAAGGCACAAATTGACTATTCACAAAATTTTAAATGAGACAAACTTACCTTCCAATGATATTGAGTATCAAATCTACGCTTAGAAATTATTTTGAGCAATTTATCCCGTAACAGCGCCCTACACTTCATTAATTTGAAAAGAAGCAAGATTTTTGTTTCAGTAATCTTATACCAAGAATTGAATAGTTCAAATTCCGCGTAAGAAATGTCTAGTGTGATGTTCTAAGCCATAAAAGGTGTTCTTTGTTGCGTATAATTTTACAAATAGTTATCCTAATATCACATTAGAATTTTTATAGAAATATTCAATTAATTAGATCGTTTTATCAATAATGACTGAAAATCAGAGAAATTATCTTCAATAATAATAATCTTAAAAAATAGCTAAGCACATTATTTGATTTGATATTTAAAAATAGTCGATAGTGTTAGGTCGCATTGGTGTGGTCAAACTGGTATTTTAATTACACGACTTCAAAAAGTAAATATTTTGCTGACAAAGGAGGAAACAGTTGAATTGGGCTGGCGACAATTATAAATCGGGACACCAGGCCTTGAAGAGTCACGATTGGTCTATACCAGATCTCGAGTTCATTTTAGCAGAATAAAACACCAGGAAATATGACGAATGCATTATCTCATTCAATTTCATCGCTATAACATCATTAGCTCTAGGTAAATTAACTATTTTTGATCAAAAGAAAACATATAAATAACAAAAACGCTCCAAAAAGAAGTGAATACTGGGTTGTATCAGTGTTAAACGGAAATGCTGAGTAGACGAATCTTATGGCATTGTATTCACAATATTGTCCATTGTTCTCTCATTGGTGTTAAATCATTATACCATGTTCTGAGGTCTTGAATTTCAACCATTTGATTTCAACTGCTGATTTCCAACTTTGGGGACCAAATATTTAGTTCATTATATTCGGCAATTTGTCACGTCCCCACGATACTTTTATCCCTTCAAACGACCAGATGAAGCGTAAAAGAATCTTGGCCTATATTCTTTATTCTATTCGTTAGTCAGTTGAAAAATATTTTAAATCATCTCTAAATTATTGAACGAAACGGCTTAATTAATTAGTACTTTATACATACTTATTCAATTATTTCATATCACATTCTTTGACTAGAGCCTTACTTAAATATGTAAATTTAATTTTTTCTAATTCGGTTATCAACAGCGCTGATTAAATATTTATAACAAATGGCAGGCGATTTAATAGTTATCATTAGCCCTTTAGTTGACTTCAAGCTTCACAGAGGGGAGGAGGAACATCAAAGTGAGAAGAATTCGGAAGGAAAAATAGAAGAGTGATTCACAGATGTAAAAGAGGCAGACAGACACAAAGGCTCAGAAAGGGTAAAATGAGTACTGTGGTAGGGGTCGAATATGACATACAGTGGGGGTGATGGTCGTTTGAAGCGAGAAGTCAACTGCCGGTTAATAGACTCTTTTGCCGTATGAGTATACGTTGCCCAGGGTGCACCACGTGGAGGTAAGTCTATCCCACACCCCCGCTGATTAAATATGTA